GCATATAATTTTATCGTTAACCGGTGTATCAACGCACTGATTACATACCAAATGCATGTTAATTATTAGTAATGTCTGTTCGTCTAGCGCAATGTGATAATATTACATCAACATGAAATTGATCACTCTATATGTATATTATTAGAATAATTAATCGCGTGTACACGCATACAAAAGCATTTCTTATTCACCCTATGTGTTTTTATATATATATACATATAATCTATTGTAACGTAGTAACGTAGAAAAGCACGGTAATGACCTGTATATTCTTCTATTAATAAATCAACGTCGATAAATCTCATTTCCTCAGTGCGATAATTATGTCGAATATCCGCTCGGAGTTGTACATTCGCGTCTGTGGTCGTTTAAGAAATACCGAGACGCGACGGGATCAGTTCGCCGATATCCCCGATGGATTCTATAAATTCCTGGCATACTTCTCCGGAAAGCGGGAGCAACCCAGGGATCGACCGACCGAACGCCCGATATAATAGCGCGCTCTGGTTACGCGCGGCAAGTCCCGAGAAGAAAAGAAACGCGAGTCTGATGGCGAGAGAGCAGGGTTAGAGACGCGAAAGGGTGAGAGGGCGCGGAGGGAGGGGGAGAGAAGAGAGGGATGTATGCTCCAAGATTTTCCGACCCTCGATCCCTCCTTCCCTTTGTGCGATCGAGCGCCCGTCGCTTGCATACAAAGAGAAGGGAAATTGCGGAGAGCTGCTTCGAGGTCGCGTTCTACGACATCGCGCCCTTATCCGGCTTACGATTCCGGATGCTTTTCGCAGGAAGCGGTCTCGCCCTGTCGAAGGAGTGAAACCCGCCCCTTTTCAGGCAAATAGGTCAATTCGAGCCGTAATTCTCGAGCCGGCTCGCGCGGGATTCCGTGAAGATGGGGAGAGAGAGAGAGAGAGAGAGAGAGAGAGAGAGAAGCGGCGAGAGCGTCTCTCGAGATATCTCTTCCTCTCACGGGTCTTCCGCCTGAGCATTTCTCTTATTTCTGGCTCGCGTAAACGGTCCGAGTGCGCAGACGTCTCGGCGAGGACGATGATGATTACGAATGAGCGAGTGAGCGAGCGAGCGGGCGAACGAAGTGAGCGTCCCATCGTGTCCGGACGCGTCGATGCGGCGACCGAACGGAGCGCGAACGTAGCGAGCGAGCAAAACGGGACGCGCAGGAGGAACGAATACGAAATAGATCGCGTGCGTGAGAGAGGGCGAGACGAAGAGAAGAGAAGGAAGAAGGGAGAAAGAGGAGGAGAAAAGGAGAGACGAACAGAGGACGGACGGAGTGAACGAAGCGCGCACGCGGAGGGCAGAGAGAAAGGACACACCTGGCGCGTGCGCCGCGGCATCGTCGTCGGAGAGAGAACGCCGGAGGTGGCCGACGCGAGGGAAAGAGAAAGAGACCGCGGGCGGCGAAGGGGTAGGGGGCGAGGACGCGCGAGGAGGAACGTATACAGTCGCCTCGTAGGGCAGTCGTTCCTCCTTCGTCGTTCCTTCGCCGCCCGTGCGCTTTTAACGAAATTATTCCCGTGATCGGGGAGAAAAAAGAAGCGGCGAAGCGGGAGAGGAAGAGGAAGAAAACGAGGAAGCGCGGCGGGAGAAAACAGGAGGAACAGGGAGTATCCGCAGGAAGCTCTTCGGGCGCCCAGAACGCCGAACCCTGCCGCGACGCGCACGGCGGCATCGTCCTCCGGCGGCATCGTCCTCGCAGAGGAGCCCGACTTGCGTGGCGCGCGTCGTCGTCGTCGTGGCCGCGGTCGACGGCACGACCGGTGGAAGAAGTGCTGCGTCGGCGGGGAAGAAGGAGGAGGAGGAAGAAAGGAGAGACGTCGTGCTGTTCGTCGTCCACGGTCAGTATCCTCTAGTGGCGAGGGAAGAGGCGCGAGGAAGAATCGGGAGGATCGAATTTCGCCGGCTCGCGCGCCGCGCGAGATCGACTCGTCGGCTCGACGCGAACGGGAGCGTCGGGACGACGTCGACGACGACGACGACGACGACGACGACGACGACGGGCGAGAACGGTGCGACGAGAAATATTCGCTCCGCGATCGTCGCTTATTGATTTCCGCGGGAGAGACGCCGCGCGCGTTCCCCGTTTCGCCGTTTCTCGTCACGCGAATTTTCGGCCGCACCGTTCGCTCGTCGCCGCGTCGCGGCGTTTCGCGTCGCGGCCCCCGCGATCGATTCCGCGCGCGCTCCTGCCCCCGTCGCACCTGCGTGTACCTACTCTCTCTTTCTCTCTCAATCCTTCTTTCTCACTCTCTTTTCCCCTCTCGATCATCCACGATCCGTAGCTCGCTTCCGTGTCGAATGTGTTGAAAATCTAGCGGGCAGGATCGGATTAGTTACCCTTGGGAGGACAAAACGTCAGAATGTGTCTTCGTCTAGGAGGAGATGTGAGAAGCGGGACAACTCAGGTATGAAATAGTAAGCAATTAAAAAAATTACGAAGATAGAAGTAGAAGTAAAGTGTGAGAGAGCATCGAGATGTGAGAGTAGCACGGGGCTGCAAGGGTGCAATGTATGAAACGAAAGGCGATCGAATTGCGAAAGAGAGTCGCGATGTGCGAGGGGAAAGCGATAATCGAGATAAGAGGGGATTGAGAGAGGATGAAGAGACGACGGTGGTGAGAAGCAATCGAGGTGAAAGAGATGGCGACAGGCTGAAAAAGCGGACTGTGGGGGATCGCGCGTGTCTGAACGAAACACGCACGTCGGTCATTAGAATCGCGTTGTCTGGGATTCGGAACGCGCGGGCGGAATGTTTGTTGCTCGGGATAAGCCCGCCGGCGGTGGGTACATCGTTCGATTAATCGATTAGCGGCGATAACAATTTGAGTTTCGCCACTCTCTCGGCTTGGAAACGCGAAGCAACAAGAGGCAACGGGAGAATGCTCGCGTTCTAATAATACGGCAAGCTGATCTAGATTCCTCTATGTATTTCTCTCTATTATTTTGCACGGTATCGACGAATCCTTCGAGTTATCGAAGCGATCCTATTTTTAAACTATATTAAAATCACATTAAGTAAGAATTGTCAAAACTTAATGCGCTGTAAACTGCTCAATTATTTCGAGGGATGAAGAAACGGTTGGAAAGAATTTTTGTGCACGAATACAACCATTAAGTTAGATGAAATTGAATAATATCTTAATCTAAGAGAAATAATTTCTTCATATTTTCTAGCTGATTGGATGTCTTGTAGAATGCAAGGTTTGCACGAAATCATTTATATAGCATCAAGTGTTATTTGTCTGATTTATCTTTTACTGTCACTACTGAAAATGGAATATGACATTTTATACAACTGTATATTTAGAATTGTAAGCTTTTTATCAATAATATCAACAAACACAGACGGTACAATTGATATGGTACAATTGATAAACATTTTTTTTTGTTGCCAAATAATAAATTATTTTAATATGTGTAAGAAGAATGGATTTGGAAAACGTTAAATTTTTCTCTATTGATTTTTCAAGCGACTTTTATTTAAAAAAGTTTGATTCATTACTAATTAAAAATGGTATCAGACAATAATACCGAGACAATGCAAATTGGAGAGACTTAGTTTTATCGATGCAAAGGAGACCTTAATCAAATTAGTTTAATTGTCTTCTTGTATTTATACCGCTATTATTTATTTAATTTAATCATTAGTAGGTCAATTTATTACCAATTTTGGTTTCAGATAATTTAATTGGTGCGACCTGAATATTTAAACGACAAACTTTTATTTTTCTCATCGCACTCGCACACCTCTCGTATACCTTTCTACTTCTGGCGAGAAGCGTGAGAATTCGACACAGAACTTTCGGCGTTTCGGGAGAAAGTCCGTTTGTATCAGTCGATAGGCGACTAAAGCAGGATGAAGTGGCTACGTGCGAAGCACGATCGATGGCCACGAAGGCTCGAGATATTTCAGCGGCGAGTTCCGGCGCGCGATAAAAGTATCTATTCCGAAGACACATCGGCGAACTCATGGCGCGAGGAGGGGAGAGAGAGGGGGGGAGGGAGAAGAGAGAGCCGCGATGACGACGAAGAGTGGTCCAGCCTTTGAAATTCACAAGCACACGGAGAGCACGTACGCTCTCTGTCTCTCTCCTTCTCTCTCCGCCAAGACTCCACGCTTCTCTTTCTCGCGTGGACGGACGTGTGGAGATCCGATCGATCGATCGAAGCGCGAGCCGTGCACTCGAGTTCTCCCTGACCTAAGAATACACCGCGGCCCGTGAGTGCCGCGGAGGAAAACCCGGGGGTGGCGGAGTGGACTCCAGAATGGACCAGAGTGGGGATCGAGTGAGGAGAGAACCCCGCCCCCGTTTAAGCGACGCCGGACAACGATGACTGCGGATTTTGTCTCCTCTTTCTTGCTCGCACCCGGCCGAAGTTACGCTCGGTGCTTTCTTGTTGCTCGCGGCCGACGGGAAAAATACCGCCGCGGGCGAGAAAGAGCGATTCCCGACAATTTTTCTTCGGCAGCTACGCGAGAACTTTCTCACGAAAGAGAGCCGGCCGCGAGAGTTATCGCGCCGCGCGAGAAGTGCCCGGTTGCGATAACCCTCTCGTGCGGAACGAGCGTCGGATGCAAATTCGACGTCGATGTTCGGCGTCGGCGGAGCCGTCGCGTCGCGTGACGCCGGACGATTAGATTAGAGAACCCGACGACGGCGGTTCGCGTAATTTTTTTTTTTTTAGAACGTACGTCCGAACCGGAACGGACCAA